GAAAAATCAATTTGGTCGACCTAAAAAAAAAAAAAGGTCGTCAAAATTTGGAAAATTTTTGAAAATCCGCCCCCCCCCTCGAGAAAATCCTAGATCCGCCCTGATTAGAGGTGTCTAAAACAATCGTGAAAATTTTCAAAAACTTTTTGATCGCCGATAATAACTTCGAAATGGTAACCTTAATTTCCTAATGTTGAAAGTCAAAGCTATATGATATTTTTGAATGAGGCAGTAATATTTAAAAAGACGGGCCAAAAAAGACGTTTTTAGGCAATTTTCGGAAACTTTTGACCAAAAAAACGCGTTTTTTTGGCGCGCGCTCCCCCCTTAAATTAAGTATATATTGGCGCCGATGGCGAGAAAAATTTTAAGGTCAGTCAGCCAAAAATGGATATCTCAAAATAGTACAAAGGCGGAGCCCTTTGGGTCGGCAGGGGCTTCCAATCCCTGAGGGGAAGAAAGCGTCCGACAAAAAACCCCCCACCCCCCCTAAATCCGCTACTGCCTGTATTATATTTCACAAAGGTTGACAAAAATTGTTTTTGCGGAGAACTATCTGTGTCGTGTTTTCCAAAGGTCGTCCTGAATTTCGAATCTTTTTTATAAATGTTTCCATCATAAGCCATCCCTGAATTAGTTTTTTTTGTACAAATGATTTTTTTTAGCCAAATAACTCTATGATTAGTCCAAAATTGCTTTCGGCATTGAACCATAGATTAAATATTGACTAAAATTAATTTCAATTAATAAATTAACTATTGACAAACCTGCCACTGCTCTGCACTTTCGGCTTTCTCACCAGTGCTACCACGATCATGCAGTTGAAAACAACTACAAGCGCCACAGGAATAGTCATATTGACAACATAACTCACTATGTCGACGTATGACTCGGCCGAAAGCATTGCTTTGCAGAACGTGTCACCATTTCCATCATATGCTTCCTCGTTGCTAAAAAATACAAAATTACAGCATAAAAAGAACTGAATCATGAGTAAGGATATGAATTTTGAACCAGAACGAAGAGAACCGTTAATAAGTGGCATAGGAGCAAAAGTATCAAAATCATTTGACGAAATATTTTAAAAAAGACAATTTTTTCTTCAAACTTAAGATACAAAGGGTTTAGCGTCCCTTTTTGTTTTAAAAGGACTAAAAATTTGTCCTCAATTCAATTTAGAACGCATTAAATTGGTGCTTACGCATGTTATAAGAACGAATTATATTGCGGAATAATTATCCCAAATTGACCAAATTAGCAATTTTCAAAACCCCATAACTTTATGACAAATGATCAGAGGTGATATATCTTTTTAAATTTGAGCTCAGGACAACAATATCTCTTAGATGACATGAAAAATAAGTCCGTCAAAAAACTTTGTTAAGAAGACTAATACTGACTGAATATAAAAAAACGACTCCAAAAATAAATATTCCAATTTTTTTTTCGAAAGCAGAAAAACAAGAAAACTCGCATCAAGACAAAATTCTGAATAGCCCGAGTGCATTTTAATTGCTTTGGAGTAGTTTAAATTAAAATATACGATGAAGTTTTTTAAAAAAACCAAAAGCATTTTCAATGTTTTTTTCTAAATCATCCCCCGCTATGTAAAGCACGCTATGAGTTATTTAACCTGCCTTTGGTAAAATATTGAATAGACCAAAGATCATGCCTCAGTCTATTTTGTAACGATTTCAAAGACAATTTAAATGTCCTCTTACGCGTTATTAGCGCTAAATACATCGCGCGTTTTTTGTCTCAAATTGGCCGAAATGGCAATCTTTAACATCCTCATAAATTACCGACAAAAGATCACAGATATATACTTTTTATTTCAGCTTAAGACATCAATACTTTGCAAATGATCTATAAAAAAATTGTCAAATTTGTTGGTTTAAAAGTCCAATTTTGTATGGAGAATAAAAAACTCCTCGAGCACAAATATTCCGTCAATGGCCCGACATTCGAAGAAAATGAAGAATATGTATGCTTGCGGAAGTTTTTCTTTATTCGGATCAGTTTTACAAGATTCTAATTTCTCGGGGGATCGATCCTTTGATCTGCAAACCACTACAGTAACCTGACACGAGTCTGTCTAAACTGCTCATTTTAAAATTTACATGCTTGGCAAAATATGCCGCACCACAAAGTCAATCCGATTGAGGGAGCTAAATTATTTTATTTTAATACACGACTCAAATTGTATTACTTATATTTTAATATGATCAGCCTAAAACTCATAGTTTTGCCAACATGAAATTTACCAAAAACTAATCGAGACAGATAAAAAGCAGGCGGATTATTCAGGGCTTTGCCCTAATACGAGGGTCTTGTTTTCTTCTAAACATGTCGAAACAAAAATTACTAACAAACGTTTTCAAAATTGAAGCATAATAACTCTTATTTTTTGAGAAAAATTTTGATCTCGATACCCAGACAAAAAATTGGTTAAATCTAGTCATACGCTATTATGTTTTTCCACGGAAATTACGTGTTTGACTCTACAACACTCTCAACTAAATGAAACTGGTCGCATGGAGCAGGCTCATTAGAAAAAATTGAGCTCCCATTTTTGCATTGATTTCCAAAAACATTAGATTTCTTAACTTTAATTATTCTGGATTTAGACATAGAAGCATACAAAGGCACTGATAACAATGAGCGTTCAGTTAAACTGCTGCTGACACCTGGTGTAACGAAAATTAGATCCGTTATTGAACTTAGCAAAATTTTTCTTGAAAGGTATTTCAAGGAAATTATGAAATCACTGAACTTAATTAGCAGGCCACTCTTTCGATACCCGAGCTTATGATAACTGACAACACGATTAATGCTCCCTCCCTAACTGTTGACTTTGTTTTATACTTTCGATTTTATAGTCTTGAAGTTTAGTCCAACCGCGCCACCACATTTTGGCGGTAGCTGGGATCGTTAGGTTCAGATATTCAAGCTTTCTCTGAACAAAGTTATCGGATCCCAGACGCTTAATGACGAGTCACTCCACACATTTATCTGAGAAATGGAAGCCTCCATGAATTCTAGACTCCTACATAACGTTCCCTCAGGTCTTAAAATTTCACTAGCACTGACTGCAAATCATTTTCTACTCGATAGACCATCAACTAAATTTCACCCTGGATTGTTCTTAGACTCAGAAGTGACACTTCAAAGTCTTGGCGTACTGCCCAAATTTATCACAGCAATTCTGGATTAGATTCCTCAAAGAGTAATTACCGCAAAAATAACTAAGAACTAAACGGAACCGCGTGTCTGCTCTTGTCAATGATTAAGTGTGGGTAGTTGAAGATTTCACTCATCGCGGCTCATGGCCTCTTGCAAAAGTCATGGAAACATACAAAGACACTGATAGCAATGAGCGTTCAGTTAAACTGCTGCTGACACCTGGTGTAACAAATATTAGACCCGTTATTAAACTTAGCAAAGTTTTTCTTGAAAGTTATTTCAAAGACTTTATGAATTCATTGAATTTAATTAGTAGGCCACTCTTTCGATACCCGAGCTTATAATAACTGACAACACGATTAATGTCCCCTCCCTAGCTGTTGACTTTGTTTTATCCTTTCGATCATCATCCCTTATTTTTATTCTTTCAATCTGCTATTACCAAAGCTTACATCATGAATGAAGACCTATCACCTACTTCGTTTTACCCAACCAAATTATCTTACTATAGCGTTGAGTCCACTAAATAACTGGTCGTCTAAATTTTTCAAACTCAGGCGGTCTTATTGATCAAAAAGATGGTTAGCAGGCATGAAACGTATCACTTTGGACTCGCAACATTGACTTTTCCAACCAGTCCTGTCTGTGTCGCAACACGTGCGCAGACCAGTCCTGTCTGTATTTGCGAGTTGCAGCGCGATTCATGTATTATTTGGAGTTTCGGGAAGCATTTGATTCGTTCTAAGACCTTGTGCATAAAATCATACTTTAAGGTTGAAGGTCACAATCTGCTTTTTTTAGTTTAAAAAATCGTATCTGGCTAACTGTTTTTTGCATATTTGCTGTGCAAGATTAGTTTTGCACAATAATAACTTAAGCTCTGTGAAACTTTAGATATGAAAAAGTAGATTACCTGGAGTGCATGATGCCGTAGCCTAAGATTGGGATGACAGAAGCGACGGCACTGATAGCTGTCACTGTAATCAGAGGTACCACAGCCTGTCTTCTGGTCCAGGTGTGGTATGTGAATGGCAGATACAGTGCCAGAACCCGGTCCAGACTTCGATAAGGGATGCCAGACTCTTTTCCGTTTTTTTTTGCTCCAAATTTTTGTTCGTTAAATCAAATTCTAGTTCAAATTCCAAAAAGTTCCAGATTGTCTAGAGATGAACTTTTGTGAAAGCTTATTAAAAACTTTTGCCTCGTTATTTAGCCCCTGATCTTATTTGATGTGGTTCAAAAGTTAACTAAAAATGTTTTTTTTTTCGGAAACTTTACAGCAAGTCATAATGAACATGCGTATGCAAGAGTGAACGAGTCAGGAACTGCGCTATTTTTTGCTAAGCTTTTCACAGCTATCAAATTGCCATTTTTAAGCTTTTTTTAAATTTCAATTTGAGTGTGGGGGAGTGTGTGGAAAAGGACCTGAGAGCGGAGTAGCTGAGTTGCATGGCGATGTGTGCGAACCAGTTGCAGAAGGAGAATATCTTGCAAGCCGCCACATTCGCCACTCGAAGACGCGGAATGACTACAAAGAGAAATAGTTACAAGTTAAAAAAATACAGATGGGTGCTATTTTGGCATCTCAGAGGCATCATCTTGTCGGGTAAATTGCTTTTTGACACCCTCTCAAAAAAATGAGCAGATTTTCTTCACTTTTCTTAACCACAGGTGTGTTTGCGTGAGCTGCACTGCAGATCATAGTAAATTATCATTTTCTCTTATTAGCAACCAGTGAAATTTAACTTTTCCCTATGAAAAAAGATTTTTTGATTATATGTGCCTTCATTGGTTCCAGAATGGAATATGGATTATATGAAAAATCACTCTGAATTTAGGTGTTAAATGCCCCAATGTTAGAGAATCTCAGCATTACTTAAACAATTCATAACCCATTTCATATCCTAATTTAGGTATCAAGAATGTTGATTCAGATCTGATACAAATTAATCATCAGGTACAAATAAGTATCCTTCGGAAAAATTATGCCGGCAGAAGTGAAGCCAGAACATAATATCACAAATGATGACATCTTACTTCCCAAGTATGCGGCAGATGTAGCTGTGAGCTGTAATATGAAGACTGAGTCAGCAACCGACAAGTACTGAAGAATCACAGGCGTCGGAGTATCCACAGGTAGCTTCCTCCCTACAGCAACCAAAACGTTAAAAAATTCAAAGCGGTTTTTTTGGTTTTTTTTCTCACTCACAATTCCCTACCTCACTTCTCGCAATAATCCCAATAATCTTTTAAGGTCGATTGAAATGATATTCCGAGCTCTCCTACAACATTTTCGAACGCTAATATACCAAAATGCTTTGAGCCGCCTGCATTTTTTGAACTTGCGGTCAAAGTGATTGGGCAATCTTCCTTGGAAATCATTGCTGATTAAAGATTAAATCATAGGTTAACGCTTATTCATTATTAGCCAGCAAAAATTCAAAAAAAAAGTGTATAAAAACGTCTTTTTTTGGCCTGTTTTTTTCAAAATCTTGCCTACGGCGCAAAAAAATTGACCAAAACAGGGTCTTTTTGTGCTTTGAGAGAGCTCGGAAAATCAATTGGGTCGACCTAAAAAAGAAAACCGTCGGCAAAATTTTTGAAAACTTTTTGAAAATCATCCGCCCCTCCTCGAGAAAATCCTAGATCCGTCCCTGATATGACATAAAAAAGGAATCGATCTAAGAACACCTTTGTCAGTGCGAGTAGACATCTGGTGATGTGAAATTTGACAGTTGATTATTTCAACTTTTCTAAATTTTGTCTTACTAAACGTATACTCAACTGCACCGATAGTATGACTTTTCCAAAAATCAGAAAATTTGTCGAAAAATTTCATATTTCAAGAAACATTGTTTTTAAATTGAGTCGAAATTTTAAAAAAAATAGAATCAAATTATCATTCCCACTCCCGATAGATCAAATAAGTTTTTCCAGTCCAGCTTTTAATCTATTAATCTTATGTTCTATTCTGATTGGATGAACATTTCAACTTATAATTAAGTTAACGGAGCTATTTTGGACGGAGCATGTTAACTTGGACCCAAAAAAACTCCAAAATACTTGCTGTAGTTTTGGAAGAACTGTAAAACATACAGCCCACACAACAAAAAAAATAGATAAAAGCTGTTGATTGTAAGAAAAGGGTTGGAGAATTTATAGTTGACCTATGACAAAACCGATGACGTCACAAATGATTGACAGTGGACCCAGACAGACACAGAGGATGACGATGATACGGACCCACAGCACCCAGTCGTCCCCGACCACTTTAGCCGCCTCCGATGACGTAATAAATGCTTCATCATAGTCTTCTCGATCGGAGACGTTTGAAAGGAACATTTTTTCCAAACGATTACCAGCTTGGTATGCTCGCAAGTTAGATGTTAGAAAAAACACAAGATTTTTTAAAGAAGATTTTTGGTTTAATATATTGATTGATTGACCGCGCCGTTTTTGCTCTAAATAATGAAGGTCTTGAAAAAACACAATATTTCAGCTGTAATTTGCTTGGCAAATTTTGCTTCACTTTTAAATGACCCAAAAGACAAACACAGGAAATTAGTGTTTTTCCATCTCGTTTCAAATGTCAACAATGGTCTTTGGTTTTGATAGTTAATTAATTTTGGAAAAAAAACTTGGATACATTCAAAAACCAAAACACAGCGTAATATCGCGTATCCCACTTTTCATTGGATAAACAATGGGGCTTTTTGTTTATGCTACAAGGTTATCTCTGATAAAAAGTCACCCTATCTATTTTCCACTGGATAAGTTCGCTCTACTCCCTAGAGCAACATTGAATCTTATTTCAATTTATCAGTTCATATATACATTAGTCAGTTTCAATATACATTAGTCGTGTTGTTTTTGTTCCGACTTTCGATACGACCTTAATTTCCTAATGTTGAAAGTCAAAGCTATATGATATTTTTGAATGAGGCAGTAATATTTAAAAAGACGGGCCAAAAAAGACGTTTTTAGGCAATTTTCGGAAACTTTTGACCAAAAAAACGCGTTTTTTTGGCGCGCGCTCCCCCCTTAAATTAAGTATATATTGGCGCCGATGGCGAGAAAAATTTTAAGGTCAGTCAGCCAAAAATGGATATCTCAAAATAGTACAAAGGCGGAGCCCTTTGGGTCGGCAGGGGCTTCCAATCCCTGAGGGGAAGAAAGCGTCCGACAAAAAACCCCCCACCCCCCCTAAATCCGCTACTGCCTGTATTATATTTCACAAAGGTTGACAAAAATTGTTTTTGCGGAGAACTATCTGTGTCGTGTTTTCCAAAGGTCGTCCTGAATTTCGAATCTTTTTTATAAATGTTTCCATCATAAGCCATCCCTGAATTAGTTTTTTTTGTACAAATGATTTTTTTTAGCCAAATAACTCTATGATTAGTCCAAAATTGCTTTCGGCATTGAACCATAGATTAAATATTGACTAAAATTAATTTCAATTAATAAATTAACTATTGACAAACCTGCCACTGCTCTGCACTTTCGGCTTTCTCACCAGTGCTACCACGATCATGCAGTTGAAAACAACTACAAGCGCCACAGGAATAGTCATATTGACAACATAACTCACTATGTCGACGTATGACTCGGCCGAAAGCATTGCTTTGCAGAACGTGTCACCATTTCCATCATATGCTTCCTCGTTGCTAAAAAATACAAAATTACAGCATAAAAAGAACTGAATCATGAGTAAGGATATGAATTTTGAACCAGAACGAAGAGAACCGTTAATAAGTGGCATAGGAGCAAAAGTATCAAAATCATTTGACGAAATATTTTAAAAAAGACAATTTTTTCTTCAAACTTAAGATACAAAGGGTTTAGCGTCCCTTTTTGTTTTAAAAGGACTAAAAATTTGTCCTCAATTCAATTTAGAACGCATTAAATTGGTGCTTACGCATGTTATAAGAACGAATTATATTGCGGAATAATTATCCCAAATTGACCAAATTAGCAATTTTCAAAACCCCATAACTTTATGACAAATGATCAGAGGTGATATATCTTTTTAAATTTGAGCTCAGGACAACAATATCTCTTAGATGACATGAAAAATAAGTCCGTCAAAAAACTTTGTTAAGAAGACTAATACTGACTGAATATAAAAAAACGACTCCAAAAATAAATATTCCAATTTTTTTTTCGAAAGCAGAAAAACAAGAAAACTCGCATCAAGACAAAATTCTGAATAGCCCGAGTGCATTTTAATTGCTTTGGAGTAGTTTAAATTAAAATATACGATGAAGTTTTTTAAAAAAACCAAAAGCATTTTCAATGTTTTTTTCTAAATCATCCCCCGCTATGTAAAGCACGCTATGAGTTATTTAACCTGCCTTTGGTAAAATATTGAATAGACCAAAGATCATGCCTCAGTCTATTTTGTAACGATTTCAAAGACAATTTAAATGTCCTCTTACGCGTTATTAGCGCTAAATACATCGCGCGTTTTTTGTCTCAAATTGGCCGAAATGGCAATCTTTAACATCCTCATAAATTACCGACAAAAGATCACAGATATATACTTTTTATTTCAGCTTAAGACATCAATACTTTGCAAATGATCTATAAAAAAATTGTCAAATTTGTTGGTTTAAAAGTCCAATTTTGTATGGAGAATAAAAAACTCCTCGAGCACAAATATTCCGTCAATGGCCCGACATTCGAAGAAAATGAAGAATATGTATGCTTGCGGAAGTTTTTCTTTATTCGGATCAGTTTTACAAGATTCTAATTTCTCGGGGGATCGATCCTTTGATCTGCAAACCACTACAGTAACCTGACACGAGTCTGTCTAAACTGCTCATTTTAAAATTTACATGCTTGGCAAAATATGCCGCACCACAAAGTCAATCCGATTGAGGGAGCTAAATTATTTTATTTTAATACACGACTCAAATTGTATTACTTATATTTTAATATGATCAGCCTAAAACTCATAGTTTTGCCAACATGAAATTTACCAAAAACTAATCGAGACAGATAAAAAGCAGGCGGATTATTCAGGGCTTTGCCCTAATACGAGGGTCTTGTTTTCTTCTAAACATGTCGAAACAAAAATTACTAACAAACGTTTTCAAAATTGAAGCATAATAACTCTTATTTTTTGAGAAAAATTTTGATCTCGATACCCAGACAAAAAATTGGTTAAATCTAGTCATACGCTATTATGTTTTTCCACGGAAATTACGTGTTTGACTCTACAACACTCTCAACTAAATGAAACTGGTCGCATGGAGCAGGCTCATTAGAAAAAATTGAGCTCCCATTTTTGCATTGATTTCCAAAAACATTAGATTTCTTAACTTTAATTATTCTGGATTTAGACATAGAAGCATACAAAGGCACTGATAACAATGAGCGTTCAGTTAAACTGCTGCTGACACCTGGTGTAACGAAAATTAGATCCGTTATTGAACTTAGCAAAATTTTTCTTGAAAGGTATTTCAAGGAAATTATGAAATCACTGAACTTAATTAGCAGGCCACTCTTTCGATACCCGAGCTTATGATAACTGACAACACGATTAATGCTCCCTCCCTAACTGTTGACTTTGTTTTATACTTTCGATTTTATAGTCTTGAAGTTTAGTCCAACCGCGCCACCACATTTTGGCGGTAGCTGGGATCGTTAGGTTCAGATATTCAAGCTTTCTCTGAACAAAGTTATCGGATCCCAGACGCTTAATGACGAGTCACTCCACACATTTATCTGAGAAATGGAAGCCTCCATGAATTCTAGACTCCTACATAACGTTCCCTCAGGTCTTAAAATTTCACTAGCACTGACTGCAAATCATTTTCTACTCGATAGACCATCAACTAAATTTCACCCTGGATTGTTCTTAGACTCAGAAGTGACACTTCAAAGTCTTGGCGTACTGCCCAAATTTATCACAGCAATTCTGGATTAGATTCCTCAAAGAGTAATTACCGCAAAAATAACTAAGAACTAAACGGAACCGCGTGTCTGCTCTTGTCAATGATTAAGTGTGGGTAGTTGAAGATTTCACTCATCGCGGCTCATGGCCTCTTGCAAAAGTCATGGAAACATACAAAGACACTGATAGCAATGAGCGTTCAGTTAAACTGCTGCTGACACCTGGTGTAACAAATATTAGACCCGTTATTAAACTTAGCAAAGTTTTTCTTGAAAGTTATTTCAAAGACTTTATGAATTCATTGAATTTAATTAGTAGGCCACTCTTTCGATACCCGAGCTTATAATAACTGACAACACGATTAATGTCCCCTCCCTAGCTGTTGACTTTGTTTTATCCTTTCGATCATCATCCCTTATTTTTATTCTTTCAATCTGCTATTACCAAAGCTTACATCATGAATGAAGACCTATCACCTACTTCGTTTTACCCAACCAAATTATCTTACTATAGCGTTGAGTCCACTAAATAACTGGTCGTCTAAATTTTTCAAACTCAGGCGGTCTTATTGATCAAAAAGATGGTTAGCAGGCATGAAACGTATCACTTTGGACTCGCAACATTGACTTTTCCAACCAGTCCTGTCTGTGTCGCAACACGTGCGCAGACCAGTCCTGTCTGTATTTGCGAGTTGCAGCGCGATTCATGTATTATTTGGAGTTTCGGGAAGCATTTGATTCGTTCTAAGACCTTGTGCATAAAATCATACTTTAAGGTTGAAGGTCACAATCTGCTTTTTTTAGTTTAAAAAATCGTATCTGGCTAACTGTTTTTTGCATATTTGCTGTGCAAGATTAGTTTTGCACAATAATAACTTAAGCTCTGTGAAACTTTAGATATGAAAAAGTAGATTACCTGGAGTGCATGATGCCGTAGCCTAAGATTGGGATGACAGAAGCGACGGCACTGATAGCTGTCACTGTAATCAGAGGTACCACAGCCTGTCTTCTGGTCCAGGTGTGGTATGTGAATGGCAGATACAGTGCCAGAACCCGGTCCAGACTTCGATAAGGGATGCCAGACTCTTTTCCGTTTTTTTTTGCTCCAAATTTTTGTTCGTTAAATCAAATTCTAGTTCAAATTCCAAAAAGTTCCAGATTGTCTAGAGATGAACTTTTGTGAAAGCTTATTAAAAACTTTTGCCTCGTTATTTAGCCCCTGATCTTATTTGATGTGGTTCAAAAGTTAACTAAAAATGTTTTTTTTTTCGGAAACTTTACAGCAAGTCATAATGAACATGCGTATGCAAGAGTGAACGAGTCAGGAACTGCGCTATTTTTTGCTAAGCTTTTCACAGCTATCAAATTGCCATTTTTAAGCTTTTTTTAAATTTCAATTTGAGTGTGGGGGAGTGTGTGGAAAAGGACCTGAGAGCGGAGTAGCTGAG